TATTAATGTATATATTTGAAAGGAAATGTTTGGTGTTTTTAACTTGTTTTCTGGCTCCAGCTTGCTGACCCAGAATCCAGAAGTAACAAATCTAACACAACTGCCTAGTGAAAATGAATAGAAATTTCACCCAGCAAGCCCACAAACCACCATACTGTGCCTTATGAACAAGAGGGAGCCAAGGAAGTAGAGCGGTTCCCCAGAAAACCCTGTTATAATCTTGGCTATGAATACTGTGCTCTTAAAAATCTAACACTACTACCTAGTAGAAAAATAAAAACAGACATTCTCACAAAGCTGAATTCTCCATCTTCTGAACTTTTGAATGATCCCAGAATCCAAATAGCTCCCATTATACTGTTTCTATAAAGGCAGAAGACCTTAGACATGGGACTAAATCTGCATTCCACAGATGACCAAACCTCCTTCAGCTTGGCCCCCCAACTTTCCTCCAACCAATAATCATTTGCTGGTTCCCTAGTTTTATACAGCTTAAGTGGACTCCAGGGGATGGTGGAGGACAGGAAGGCCTGGAGGAATGTTGTCCATGGGGTCGCGATGGGTCGGACACGACTTCGCGACTAATGACAACATCAAATCCATTCTAAAAGAGTGAATTGCCTCTCTTGAAGCTTAGTTACTGGCAGTAAGAGTTTTCAGCTGATGCATTTTATTCTGTATCTAACCTGGTGAATATGCTGGAGGAGGGGTTGTATTTTTGACTGCATCCTCTTTGCCTTGAGCCCCACCTACCACTGCAGTGTGGTTTCCAAGAGTTTCTCCAAAGTGGAATCTGGCCCTCAAGCTGAAAGAATCTGGTCAATAAGGATTCTCCTTTCCATACTTGGGTAAGTGTTGGCATCTCAGAGTAGCAGATTCTACTGAAAGCTTCACTCTCACCATTTTGGAATCATCCAACACATTCACTCCTAGATTGTACATATAATCACTAGAATAATAGCATGTGGCACATTCTAATCTAAGCTGTCATTAAACTATAGCCTTACCAATTCTGCCCACATGTTTGCTGCTTTTCCTTCTTCCCACACATCTTCAATTAGTCATTAATTTGATTAATTTGAGTTATTGCTGAAGATGAAATTAACAGGCTATGACACAACAGGGATCACTTCAACATATTGAGGAACCACATGAACTAGAATAATTTGCATTTTTGCTTGCCTGAAGGATGTTGATCCTGTCAACCAAGTTGACATCCAGAATAATTTTTGCTAAACCATACCTAACCTAGACCTTTACTGCCTATTAAATCTACCAGGAAGTTCTTTTAGAGTTCTTCCTTGCCTTGCATGTGTGTTGGGAAAGTTTAAATACTTCATCATACACAAAGGTCCCCTGGATCCAGATTTATGCCAGATAAACTTCAGTGACAGAAATGACTATATGCACCCCTTCCTTTGCATGCCAGGCTTTCCTGTCTCCCAAAAATACTACACAGAAGTGATGGATTTGCATGTCACACTGACCTGTGTTGGCGATAAACCATGGTGGATTGGTTACCAAGTAAACAATCCTCAGTGAGCCCAATGTACTATTGGACTCACCATGAGTTATTATTGCCCCTGTGGTCCTTTCACAGGAATCTCAGGGGCACCACAGAAGAAATGTGCCATTTTCTCACTCACTGCCATGATTGCAAGCTATTTTAGGCTCCCCATGGCTTTTTTTTCTTTTTTCTTTTTACACTTCTTTTCTCAGAAGTTCCAAAAGCGGACTTTCATAATCCCTATTTTGTCAGCTACGGGCAATCCCTTCACAGTGTCCAGGACACCTTGCAGAAATGGCCCAAGGTTGCTGAGCCTTTTTAAATTTGTTACTTCTTGGACATTTTTTAAAAGCTGCAGTCATGTAACTGTGAGCTTTGCAGTCTTGGCTGCAGTAGTGTGCCAGCTACCTCCAAATACAGCATGGACACTAGGAGATCATCTGGCCCTGGCAAGCAGCAGGGACCCCATGGGAAGAGCAGCGAGGATGTTTCCGCCAGCCTTTGCTTGGGGTTCTGTAGCCAATTCCCTGCACACATGATAGGGTTGGTTGCCCTGGTCTGGATGGCACAACAACCTGCCATGTGTATGATAGTTGTTGTTTGGGAGTCAGGGGCAGCCATCACAGTTATGTAGGGCAGAAGGAGGTATGAAAGTGTGTGTGTGTGTGTGTGTGGTGAGGGCGAAAGCTATGCTGTAATGAGAGATGGTACAATAATAGGGTATCGGCCATCCCCACTTTGTCCTACATTTCGAATAACCTGGATGGCCCTGACAATCCCCTGGGTAGTGTCAGGACTGAGGCTGGAGACTTCTCAGCTTTGCTAGGGATTTCAACAACCATGTTCCACCCTGTTTGGAGTGGCTCAGGACTTCACATCCACCTTGACAACTATGGGTCTGTCCTGAATGGTATTTGCTCCCCACCCTATTGCTGGGCACACTCTGGATCTTGTTTTCTGTGCTGGGTGGGTTGTTAGTGATCTAAGAGAGAGGAACTCTTGTTATGGACGGATCATTTCCTGGTAGGTCTTAGACTCACTGGTGCTAAGAACCTCTACAGGGATGGAGGGCTGATTAAGATAGTCCACTCAAGAAGGCTGATGGAAATGACTGATTTCCTGATGGCTCTTAGGAATTTTCCAGTTACGTTGATAGGCGATTCTGTCAAAGCCCTAACCAGTCTCTGGAATGGAGAAATGACCAATGGAGAACTCAATTACTCCTGTGTGCCTTCTCCTACAAAGCAGACACACCACAGCATTCTGGTTTTCTAGCAGACTGGTGGTGATGAAACAATGAGAGTTGTTGGTGTTGCTGGTGGTGATGAGAGTTAAAGAGACATTGTCAGAAAACTTAAAATGAATCCTACTGAAAATTGACTAGAGCCTAACTGAAGGCCTGCTTTGTGATGTTGTAAGCAGCAAAGAAGAGATTCTTTTCTGCTGTTGCTGCTCCTGCAAAGAGTTGTTCTGCAGAGATGTTTTGGGTGGTTAAGGTTTTTTTATACACTGACCTGCAACAGTAGGACTCAGATCTCTTGACATCCAACTGTGAACAATTTGCTCAGCACTTTGTAGACAAAGTCACTCAGATCTGCTCCAACTTGGATGCTGTAGCTGATACAATCCCAGTGGATGCAAACTTTGGCTCCTATTTGTCCAATTTTATTGGATACTCTTAGTTTGTACAGTCTGAGTATGTGGATAGGATTATTGGAGAAGTGAGAGCCACAACTTGTTCTGGATGCTTGCAGTTCTGGCTCATAAAAGCAGAAATGGGTATGTGGTGTGACTAATGCCTCCTGTAGTCAAAGCAGGGCCCCAGTCTGCCTGAAGGAAGTGGTGATGACACCCACAATTGAACAGCTCTCCCTGAATCCCACTGCAGTAATTATCAACCAGTCTCCAGTATTCCATTTGTGGGCAAAATCTTAGAGTGTAGGACAGTTTCCCAATTCCAGGGGCTCCTAGATGAGATGGAGTGTCTAGGCCCATTAAATCTGGCTTCAGGCCTGATCATGGGATGGAAACAGATTTGGTTGCCTTGGTAGGGGGCCAACACCAGGAACTAGACAGGTGAAGTATGTCCTTATTGGTTCTGCTGAACCTTTCCACCTTTTGATACCATTAACCATGATATCCTTCTTCGTCACCTCGCTTGATTACAGAACTGAAAGCACTGTCTTAAAGTGTCTCCATTCTTTCCTGGAGAGGTAGACCCAGAAGGCTGTGTGCGGAGACTCCTGTTCAAGTCCCTGGCCATTGACTTGCGGAGTGCCTCAGGGTTCTTTTGTCTGGGGTTTTGGGGTAGGGATCTGTTAGGAATCCATTTGAGGGTTGGAATCCATCAGATTCCCTGGGCTCAGCTCCCTGGACTCCATTCTGCTTCGCTGCAGCTGTGAGTCCAAGTTCTGGTGAGTGCACCCAGCATTCCTGTGGCACGTGCCAGGAATTAAACCCTGAGCAGCCATTGTGCAAGTGACATCTCTCTTCCATTTCATATGCAGCAGCCTTTGTGTCTACTGCACGTGCAGCACCATGTGGCAGACAAGGAGGCTGTTGGTTACATAACCTTCATTCTGCAAGTGGACTTCTCAGCTTGGCTCATTTTTTCAGATGCAGTTGAGCACAAGAGGAAGTCCACAAAGGTTAGAGGGATACATTCCACAAGCTTTATTGGAACATTATTCTGGAGTTCATAAAGTATGGTAACACCCAACACTTCTTTTCATTTCCTGCCAAGGAATATTTGTGGCTGAATCAGGGCAGTTGACAGTAATGGACTGGTTGAGGGCAAACAAACTGATGCTTAATCTGACCAAGACAAAGATGCTTCTGGTCAGTTGAAAGGCAAATCAAGGAATAGGGATTCAGCCTGTACTGGTTGGGGTTACACTCCCCCTGAACACATAGGTCACAGCTTGGGTGTACTTCTGAACTTAACCCTGAGCCTGAATGCCCAAGTTTTGGGGGTGGCCAGAAGTGCACTTGCACAATTATAATTAGTATACCAGCTGCCTCCATACCTAGAGATGTCTGATTTGACCACAGGGCCACATGCCTTAATTATATCCCATTTGGATTACTGTAATGTGCTCTACACAGGGTTACCTGTGAAGTGTGTTGGGAAACTCCAAATGGCTCAGAGAGCTTCTGCCAGACTATTGACTAGAATTGGCTATAGGGAACACACAACTCCTTTGCATATACTTTTGAGTGTCACCTAAATTTGTACAGTATTGGAGCTCATTATTCTAATTATGCCCTGAATGTTAAAGCTCATGAACTTTTTCATTGTCCCTCCCTCTCCACCATCTCTGAGATACTGCCTGGAAAATAAGCCAGTGAAACTGAAAATCTTGGTGTTCCTAACCAAAACCAAGCCAAAACATTATGAACTTCCTTATTTTTTATAAGTGCAATATAGCAGCAGCATTTGATAGATATCATGCAAATGAACCCTGTCAGTTCAGAGCACATAACAAATACTCACAAGGGGTAGGAAAGTCAATAAAGGCCGGACTCTTGGGCGTGCTTTAAGCGTTGCTGTTCCCGAATCTGTCATTGAACCAAAGTGATTGTCACCATAATAAATGCCATCCACTTGACCTAAACCAAAAGAAAAACAAGTAAGAAGGCAACCATGTTCAGACATTGTTTATAATATTTCCTCCAGGGTGATGGGTAGAACTCCAAAGGTTTATGAAGAAATTCCTGAGTCACTTTTTAAACCTTGTAATATGAATCTGATATATATCGACAGGATCATCTAAGTTAGTCAGGTTTTCTCTATCTAGTTGAATTTCCTTTGTCAAACTGGCTGTGCAGCGTAAAGAGCTTCTGATATTTTCCATGCCTGCATGTGTCCAATGATGTTCAAGATTTGTTTGGGTGAATACCTTGACCTTGAATGAACTGTTGGCCATTAGAACAACAGCCACATAGCTGGGCACATGATTTCAGCAGCACTCTAGAGATAATGAGGATGAGGAGCTTCAAGCAAGGATCCAAATTTGGCCCTCTTTGTGGGGGACCAAGCCTGGCCTGCCAGGTTTCTCAGACAGCCAAACCCTGTTCCCTGACTACACTCCCTTTCCCCCAACCAAGAATAATTCAGTGTTTTTCTGTGCTGTTTTTTCTCTTTCTAATTTTTCTCCTTTGCCTTCCATGAAGTCCACCACCACTGAAATGCAGCCCTTCACATTTTCTCCAAAATGGAATTTAACCCTTGGGCTAAAAGATGATCCCCACCTCACTTCATGTGTTATTTTTTAATATAGGGCCTGGAGGCTATGAGGGATATTACACAGAAGCACATTCAGGTTTGCTACCAACTGCAAACCCAGCAAAGAGATGCAGAGGGGGCATTGGTTAGCAAACATGTAGTTGCAACTGTCACACTTACATTTGTAGGTGTGTGCTTAAAACATCTTAGGTGGTGTATGCCTAAAATATATATAATGTGTGAAGTGGGTTTAAATACATATACTTTCTGAAGTAGTCTTAATAATTGTAATAGTCATTTATCAATCATTTTCCCAAGGACAGTTTGGGACTACTGCTTATATGCCAATAGCAGTCCATCGTTGATTATATTACCAACAGCAGCCATAATTTCTACATATGGGGTGAACAATTTCTATAATTAATACATGATTCTATTTCTTTGTTTTCCATCCATTCCCAACTGTCATATTGGCATTCCAATAAAAAACTTCCTCCAAATAAGTTAAACCATGTTATCCTCAAAACAATCCTTTTCGAAGGAAGGTAAAGTGACTTTTTTAAAACAACACAGCGCATGGACAGGAAACCTTGTGTCAGGGGGTTAATTCTCTCACAGGTAATCTGTCCAGAGCCATGGTGAGCAGCAGGACGCCCCTCTTCTCTTTTTGTAGCTATTTTTGCTTTCTCTCTCTGTGCTCACATACCTGTCTCCCTTTGCTTTCACATGCAATGGACTGTCAGGGAAGGGACATATTGCTGATTCCCTGCAGAGGGCTTTCAAAATTAGGCTAAGGGCCACATGAAATTAGACCAAGAGCTGCATGTGGCCCTGGGGGAGCAGGTTACCCACCTCTGACCTAGTGAAATCACCTAGATGATTGGGCTATTTCCCATTGAAACACAACAAGCTTATCTACTGTTCAACCCTGGCAGGTTCTACAGCAGACACAGAGAGCAGATCTGTAGTGAGTCCTGGCAGCACAGCTCCATAGTTTTGAAACTCTGATGAGTCACTCATGGCAAGGAGAAAGGAATTAAACAAGCAAGCATTTTCAGGTTTGGTGAGAAAGCCCATGCTTTTGATCCCCCTTGCTCTCTTGCTATACCCCCACAGAAAGCAAGTGGCTATGTCTACTGATGCAGGTTTTGGCTGGCTGGCAGGCAGGCCTGTCTCTGGCATCATGGTGCAGGTAATGGCCCATTGCCAACCATACCGCACTGCCCAGAAATCTCTGCTGAATTCCAAGCTACATCCTTTTCTTTAGGTCCTAGCATGCCAGCTGCAAAGCCCCATGGGCAGGGAGTCTGCTTTCATACAGGAGTGTATGAAAAGTTTATCACTCCTGCAGATCTTGGCCATTTAATCACATACAAGGACAATAAGCCCTCAGTGTTGTTGCTCAAGACTATCATTGCTCTTTCAGTGTTGCAGCCAGCACCCACAGCACCTTTTGTCTGGTGGCAGCTTTGCAAGAAACACTGCACAGAGCAAAGGACAAGTGAGTGAGCGAATGAATTCCTCCATACAGCGAGTGAATAGACTCTAGAGTGACAGGTACAGGGTGAGGCTTGGCTGAAAGAAATGGCAACTCCCCCCCCCCCCTTACCATGCTGCTTCATTCTTGCCTAAACAAAACATCAGGAATGGAAAGAATTAGGAAACAATCCTTGTGGCCATAGCTACATAATTACCTGGAAATACCCTGGTACAGCCTGCTCATGGGGCAAATTGAAATTTAAAACAGCCCCTTTTTCCTGAAGCACCATCACATTTCAGCAGTGAATCATGACTCTGGGGGTTTAAAAAGAGGTGGCTTTTCTTCTCTGCCGCAGCTGAACCACATTACAGCAGAGGGTTCCATGGAATGGTGGGTGGTGGGTGGTAGGGGGCCAAAGCAGGTCAAGAGGGCCACGCTGAAACAAGCAATTATGTTTTCCATGACCTCACTGCTTTATTGTTGGCTAAGCAAGGCACCAAAGAATGGAAAAGGCACCAAAGAATGGGAAAAATGGAAACAATCACAGCTGAACTGGAAATGTCCCAGTTTGACCCACTCGCTGGGCAAACCCAGTCTTTCGGTACCAACCCCAGAATGAATGTGAAAAATAACTGCAAGGGGTCCTCCTCCCCTCTACTCCAGTAGCCAAGAAAAGTACAAAAGGAGGGAGGGTGATATAGGAAGGGTACAAATCCAGCGGGGGACAACACAAAACACTCAGAGTGTGTAAGCCAGGGGTGGTTAAGACATTTTGGCACCTTGAACAGACAATTCAGACATTATATCCTAAGTGGTAAAAATCTAACAATAAACCAAATAATTGGCAATGGCTACTTAAATGCCACTCCAAATCTGGTTTCTGAGACAGGACATCTCACTGCACAGGTTAAGACAACAACTAGCAAACACCTTAAACCTCTTTAAGGCAACACCAGTAGCCCATCTCTATGTCTAGAATTTGCATTTCCCCATCACTGGCAATTCAGATTTTATTTTTAAATTGCATCATCTTACTGGGATCCCAAGCTGGGTAAGAAGTCTATCCTTTGCACAAGCTTCTTAAAAACTAGCAATGTGGACTCTAAAAATAACAAACCACATCAAAAAGGGCAACCAGAGAAAATCAGTGGTCATTGGAAGTTCTGAGTTGTCATTTCCAAGGGGAACCAGTGTTGAAGGGACACCAGACATACTTGAATATTAAACAGGCCTTATTCATCCTCATTGTAGAGACTAAGAGCAATCTCAATTGTTCTAGTGCTGGTTCTTATTTAGTCAAAATAGCACCATCCATGAACACAAGGGAGAGATTATGGGGAGGATTCAACTGTTTTTGGAAATACAAACAATATTTTTAAGAAAACTTGCAAGGAGAAACCAAAACAGCATGGAATGCTGATTGACTGTTGGGGAAAAGAAATGGAAAACTCTAAGGCAGAGGAGAATGGAATGGAAACAGGAAAGGAAAGTGTCAATAGTCACTTATTGATTGATTGATTAAACAGGAACTCTCCACACTGCAGTTTTTTGTTGAAGATTCCACTTCTCAAATAATTCAGGCTGCTGTTATTTAGCCAAAATGGCATCATACACACAAAAGAGGCAGTTATCCATAAGCTTACTGCAATCCTGAGATTTGAAGAAATAAAAAATCTAAAAGCAAACAAACCAACAATCAAACAAAAACCCAACAACCCAAAAACCACTCCTAGCATATAGTCCACTTTGCATATACAACTGCATGATGGAACAATTGTTCTCCATCACTTCACTTCCTATGATATACTGTCATTTTGCAGTTCTTACAAGGCATTTACAAATTCACTAAGATAACCAGCATTTTCAGAAAATTATAATAAAGAGGTATGGGGCCTCTTGATTACCAAAATATTTTAAAAAGTTTAGTTCTTTAACTCCAAATGCCCATGATTTGGGAGCCAGACAAGTCAATGAGAGTAACCTTCTCTCCTCCCCGTGCCCATATATCTTGGCTGGAAATGCCCCCCACCCCCAATACAAGTTATTTCTTGAATGTTCAGGCAGTATGCAAAGTGATAATAAAAATGTTTTGCAGTCATGAATGCTTCACAGGCACACCCTACAGAGCAAAACAAACTGCTTTGCAAATTCATTTCCATGTTTTATTTTAAATATTGGCTTCTGTACAGAGCTCTTTTTGGTTGTGGCCACTTTCTCCTCTGGCCAGAAGCAGTGGCTGTTTCCTGGTTTCTCCCAAGCAGCACAACTCATTCAGACTATATCCAGACTGAATTTTTATTGTTACAGTGGAATGTCAGTAAATGCCTGACTTTTATACCTTCTAGAACAAGCCCGTTTGAAGAAAGAAGGTATTTGTCTGTGGTAAGAGATATCCTGCTGCTGGACAGATGTTTCTGAACACCGGTGCCCATACACCCGAGCCAGCATGGCCGATGATCAGGGACTGTGTGAGGTGTAGTTCTGAAAGGCACCAAATTGCTTTCTGCTGCTGTGCTGCCTTTATGGGTGCAAACATTCCTTCTAAACCTTGTGTGAAAGATAATTACCCCCCTTGTAAAGATGACAGGGAAATAAACCTGATAGTCGTGTTGGTTTCAGAGCTGGGAATAGAATTTGGGGAGTTCTTAGCTTCCAGCCCTATGTTCTTGCACAGACCACACCTCTCTGAGCTGTTCTTTCTAGTAGTGAGAACAGCCCATAATTTATTTTAATAAGAGACTGAATTAACAGCCATGATCAGCAGAGACACTCCAAGTCTATAAGCCCAACCTCTGCTTGAAGGGCTGCTCTGTAGCAATTTTCTACAGAGAAAGCAAACATTAAAGGAAGGAGGAAGAAGGGAAACACACAGAAAATGCATCATCAGCAATAAAAAAGGATGAA